AGGCCTGGAGAGAATGTTCATGCAGAGCAAATAAAGGGCGGCTGATAGCAGTGATGGTCAATCCCATCCACATGCCACTCTGCCAATCTCAGAGAACTTCCATATCCAGTAGCTCACTTCAAAGCAGCATATAATTGCAGGACAGGTTGTTCGGGGCTGATCATCAGGCCACTGCTCCATCCCATTAGGACAGCATATTTAAAATTGGAACTGTAAACCTTTATATTTTTTGGTGCCCTTTAGTTTCTTGATCAGCTTTCTTTGGTCGTAGAGCCATGGAAACTCACCTGGCCAGGGTGAGATGGAAAGAAGACTCTCAGGTTTGCTCTGAAGGGGAGGAAGAATAACTGGAGGGCTGGGGGAGGGGGCTTACCTTCAAGTGATTTAACTGAGCCTTGGTTTTCCTCCTCCTCCCACATATTTTTGGAATAAAAAAGCTGCTTTTTTATTTTTGGTATTGAGGATTGAACTTAGGGGCACTAGATCACTGAGTCACATCCCCAGCCCTATTTTGTATTTTATTTAGAGACAGGGTCTCACTGAGTTGCTTAGCACCTTGCTTTTGCTGAGTCAGGATTTGAACTTTTGATCCTCCTCCCTTAGTCTCCCCCGCCGGGATTACAGGCATGTGTCACCATGCCTGGCAAGAAATCTGCTTTTTGAGAACACTCACCCATTCTCATTTTGGTTCAAGGATAAAGAGAGTCACAAATGAATATCTCTGAACACAGTAGTGGGGAATTCTCCTAGAGTTTCAAGCCTAAGTCTGTTCCATTGCTGGGGTTGCAAAGTGAGATTCATTCATGTGTTTATGTTGCCAGCCTACTGTGGCTCCCCACCATCTCATGATTCTAGGATTTGAAGTATATGCTGGGATACAATCCACATAGCATAAGATGACAGAGGCAGGATCAATAACAGAGCCACAACCAATGTGTGCAAAGGGGAATGAAGGGAAGGTGGGGGGAATGAAAATAGGAAAGACAGTAGAATGAATCAGATGTAACTTCCCTGTGTTCGTATATGAATACATTACTAGTGTAACCCCCCGCTTCATGTACAACCACAAGAATGGGAAGTTACATTTCCTGTTTGTATAATATGTCAAAATACATTCTACTGTCATGTATAACCAAAAATAACAACTAAAAAATTAAAAATAAAAACAACCAATGTGTGTTCAGTTTAGGCTGTGGTTTAGACAATGTGTAAGGCTCATCTCTATTCCTGGTACCTTGAAATCTTGGATGGAGGCTGAGATAAACCAGGACCAAGAAAGGATTTGGAGTAGATCTGAGGCTCCAGAATACTTTCTGGGGCCTGAGTTCCTTTGAGACAGCGCAGAATTGGTTTAACTTAATAGTCCCACTTCCTTTTCAGCAACCCCACCAAACTGACAGTCTAATCTCAGATATTATTTATTATCAGGGACTCCAGCAAGACTAAGCTCTCCATTGTATGGAGCCCTTGGGAAGGTTCCCAGTTGCCACACCCTCTGCTCTGCCAAGAAGAGAGTAGGATTTGGAGCTCAGGACTTTTTTTTTTGTTGTTGTTACAAGTCTGAAATTACAGAGGTTAAAGTCTCTGAATAGTGAAAAAGACCACTTCCCACATAATAAAACACACATGAACACTGGGGCTTTACTTTGTTCAATTGCACTTGACTGGGAGTGGGAGAAGGGAATTCCCTAGCTTCCTGTGGCTGTGAATCTGGGCCCCTGTAATGAAGTGTACATCACTCTGCCTGAAACTCAGACTCACAAGTGAGTCAGCAATGCTCCACCTGAGCAGCAACAGAGGACATCACAGGCTGAGTCCCACTGGGGATGTCTGAACCCCGAAGGAGCTACTTTGGGAATACAGAAGAATAGATTCCTTTGGTGCCCTTTGGAAGTGCTCACAAGATGTTTTTAACCTCCAGACCAAACCAGGAGGTGTGTCTCAAGCAAAGAAGACTTCAGAGTGACCTACTGTCAGGTCTGATCATTTGAGGAGCCAGAAAGTTCCTCCTGATCTCCATCTTAATTGCTCTTGCATTCTCTCCTTTCATTGATTCCTCAGTAGAGTGACATGAACACTGGGGCTTTAGTTTGTTCAATGGCATTTGGATCGATGGGTGATTCTGAAAAAAAAAAAAAACAAAAAAAACAAAACAAACATCAAACAGTATAGCACCATTCAGAATAGATTCTGGCTGGAATGCTGAACAGGCTCCCAGTGGAAAGAGCCCTGGGTTTGAGTTCTGATCTTGGCTTTGTGGGTGACTTGCCTGGTGACTTTGAACAGATTATTTTACCTATGGGTTTCTCATCTATAAAAAGCAGGGACTTGGATTCAGAAGTCTACAAGGTCAGGCAGTTAAAGTAAATGAGAAAGCTCAATAGAGTGGGGTTGTCCTGACTGTAATGTGTAGGCTTCCTCTAAATGGGCTGCTGTTCCTGGTGGAACTTTTGGTCAGAGTGTCCGGGAGCTCATGACCCTTCAAGAGATGCTGTGAATCTAGATGTTTATGTGAAATCTCTTGGTATTTAAAGTTCTTTGTGGGTCAAACAAAAGTCTCTAAGCCATTCTATCCCTGGAATAGAGGATCTAGAATAAAACTCCCCTATCTTAAATTTTCCTCATTCTAAAATGTGTATCTTCTAATGAAGATCCTTAAGAAATCAGTTTAGTTATGGGAATTTCAACTAGTGCAAAAGTAAGTGACTGTGTGTGGCTCATATTTGGATGCCATTGGACTTTAGGCTTCTCTCAAATGGCAAATGGGGTGGTCTCCTCCTAACCCCCACCAATCTGCACACACACTAGAAATGGACTGTTGGCTGGGTCTCAGCAGCCCAACCCTGGGCCAGTTGGAAGATGCTGCTTGTTTAGTGAGCCCATTAGCAATAAAGAGCAGGCTAGCCTGGTGAGCTAGCCCCTCCCAGTGAAGAGAAGAGTGGCCACAGGGCAGTGGTTGACTCGGAGGCTGGCTGAGGGCCTTGCTACCTTCCCAGCATTTGGTGGCTACATTCCAAAGCTGAGTTGGGGCTAGGAACAAACCTACATTATTATCAGGGGCTCTACAATTCATATTAATTTACTCGGTCTGCCATAACACAGTACCACAGATGAGGTGGCTTAAAAAAGATGAAATCATTATCTCATTTCCCCCCCCCTCCTTGCAGTATTGAGGATTTGACCCAGGGCTGCTCTACCACTGAGCCACAACCCCATCCTTTTTTGTTTTTAACTTGAGACAGGTTCACACTAATTAGCCAACCAGGCCTTGAATTTGCTATTTTCCTGCCTCAACCTCCTGAGTAGCTGGGATTACAGGTGTGCGCCACGGTGTCAGACTTTCTCAATGTTCTTGAGATTAGAAGTCCAAAACAGCCAGGTATGATGGCTCATATCTGTAATTCCAGGGATTTGGTAGGCTGAGGCAGGAGAATCGAAAGTTTGAGGCCAGCCTCACAACAAAAGTAGTGAGGGTCACACAGTTAAGTTAACATGACCCTGTCTCAAAATAAAAAAACTGTCTTGGGATATAGTCCAGTGGTAAAGCACTCCTGGGTTTAATCTCTGGTATGGAAAAAAATGTCCAAAATAAAGGTGTCATTAAATTCTGCCAAGGGCTGTGGGGGGAGGATCTATTCCAGGTCTCTCTCCTTGATTTGTAGACCACCATCTTCTCTCCATTTCTCTCTGCATCATACTCCCTCTATGAGTGTATACTTCTGTGTCCAAATCACTTCCCTTTTGAGCACATCAGTCGTACTGGATTAGGACTTATCTTAATGGCTTCATTTTAATTTGATTACCACTCCAAAGACTCTCTCTCCAAATAAGGTCACATTTTGAGATACTGGAGGTTAGAACTTCAACATATGGGTTTGGAGGGGGGGGGCACAATTCAATCCATAACACCACTCCTCTAGTTTCCCCCTCATTACTTTCAACTCCAAAACCTAAGTACCCGGTCCCTGACCCATCTCACCTGTGACAGAGCAGTGCTTGAGAATGGGAGTTTGTGCATTTGCTGGTATACAACTGCCAGTAAGCATGTGCTCTATAAGGATGGGGAAGGTGAGGAAATGCTCATTAAGCAAATGGGACTTGGATTTCAAGTAATAACAAAAGATGACTCTTATTCTGTGAGGCACTGTCTATAAGGCATTTTTTAAAAAAATTCTTACCCCAATAATAATTACAAGTACTTAACATAGCACTTGATAAGTGCCAGGTATGTTCCAAGCACTTTATATACAGTAATTTGAATTCCCACAACATCCCTATGAGGAGGTACCATTATTAACCTAATTCTACAAATAAGAAATTGAGGCCCACAGAGCTTCTGAAACTTTTATGAATCTGTAGTATCTGATGGAGTTGGGGCTGGAACCTCAATAGTTGGCACCACAGACTAGGCTTTTAATCATTACCTGATAGTGATTAGAAAAGGCAGGAATTATTGTTCTAATTGACTATATGAGGAAACTGAAACCAAGAGACTAACTTATCCAGGGTCACATGGGTAAGAAGGCAGATTTCCAGGCTAGAAGGCACTGGACAGGACCTAGTGTTAGAGTCCTTTCCCCATAGCCAACTCCACGAGTAGTAGGGCCAATCTCAAAACCCTTATTTGGGCTTAACTGTCTGCATACCTCTGGGTAATTATGGGGCATGAAAGTGGGGAGGTACTCTCTCAATTTAGATTTGACCTCCCAGTGGTTTCCTGTTCCCAGGACCACTATCCCCGAGGCATAAGGGCGAGGCTTACGTCTGCGACTTTTCTAAACTCAGGTTAGAAACTGGGAGTGGGCTGGAGAAGAGGCTGGGAGGGGTGGATAGCACAGGAACTCAAGAGTATCATATTTCTCACACGCAGCCAATCCCGAACGTCGGAGGGCGTGGCCACACCTGGAAGGCGTGGCCAGACTGCGGAGGGGGCTGTGGCGTTCTGGGGCGAGGCGCTGACGTGAGCTCCGCGCACCTGGGCTGGGCAGGTAAGGGCTGGTGTGCGACTCTGGGAGGAACCCTCAGTCCCCACTTGCGCAGATCCAGGAGTCACTGGGCCAGGCCGTCGAGGGTCACAGTGGCTAAGGGTGATCTTATTGCGGACTTGATTCGGAGGGACATCAGCTTCGGGTAGCCAACTGAAGACAGGTGGGGACGCCAACTTCTGGAGACAACCTAGATCGAGGGGAGACACCTCCGTGGGTGGAGAAGGGCTCCATTACAGTTTGTGTGGGTGGGAGAGCCTGCTTTGATACCCACTGGGGCTGAGTGCATGTCGCCCTCCTCTAGGTAACTTTGGGGTCCTAGTTCCTCAGCGCTGGGCCCCTCCCGCTTCCCTCCTGCGGAAATGGAATTCGCTGCTCTTGGCCCCCTCCTACTCACCTCACCATCGGATCGCGCCAAGGTGCCCCCACCCCCACTCCCCTTCTGTGTTAACTAACTTGGTCACTGGCCCCAGGGTCCCAGAGGGAACTTCCCAGGTGCTCTGGCCCTAGGTCCTGGTGGGTGTTTTGGGAAATTGGGAAGGAGGAAGACAAGGAACTTTGGCCGGTTTGTTTTCCTTCCCTTAGTTTGTTTAGCACAGTCAGGCCTCTGCCCTGGGCCTGGGAGACACCCTTGGATTTCCAAGTAGCTAAACTAGGTGTTGGGGAGGGTGGCGCTAGGCGTGGCCGCTCGAGGTGAGGCCCTCTTTGCCTGAAGGGGCTGGAGGTAGGTGTGGGGAAATGGTGAATGTCTTCCAACCCTGACAGGGAAGGAGGGCTGGGGTGCCACTCTTTATAGAAGCCTACTTTGTGGTTCCTATTCAGTTCTCTTGGTGGATACCAAGAATGGAAGCCCGGGAATGGAGAGGGAGAAGGTGCTTCAACAAGGATTGGAGACCTTCAGGGTTAGATGTGTGTATAAAACGTGAGAGTGCCACCAGTGTTCTGCATCCCTTTTGTCACCCTCCAACTTTAATCCAGCAGGAAGGAAGGAAGGTGAATTATGAGTAGAGACCCAGACTTTACCCCTGGGGAACTTAGGATGGCATTTCAGTTTCCTTCAGGAGGAAAAAAACAAGTGGGACTTACTCTAAGATCTGTCTGCAAGAATTGGTGGGTGTATTTTACTATGAGCAAAACTTAATGACAGCCAAATCAGGGCATTGAGGTAACAGCGCCCCTGGAAACTGGCCTGGGCAGGGGCCGGGAAGGTGGTGTCAGTAGTGTTTATAGAGGTCATGCCCCCTGGACCCAGCCCATGAGAGAGGACAGTTAGTGCCCTGGGGAGGATGAAAGAGTCCCTGTTCTGTGTTCACTGTGAGGGGAGTGGATGGGTGGCATCTTTATCTTTGGATGGTTACATACCTGTTTGAGAGAAGGCCTTGAATTTTGCTGTGATGGCAGATGGAGATACCAGGGCTGATTTTAATTAGGTAAGTTTGAGTGGTGAGAGGCTTTAGGAAGAGCACTCTGATTTAAGTGTGTTTGAGAATGGGTGTCATCCACTCACTTTGTTGTTCCTTCAGGGAGGCTTTGTTGTTGTTTTGGTTTGTTCTCTTAGTGTGTAGAAGAAGATAGGAGGGTCTTGGAATGTATGTAGGGTGCAGTAGCTAGCTAGATTTGGTACAGCTCACTCTGACTTAGGAGTGTTGGTTCTGGGCTCAACCAGTACCATATAATGCACACAATTTTTGGTGCCTCAGTTAATGCAGCTTTAAAATGGGAATAATACCACCTCTAGGATCCTGAAGATAAAAGCAGACATATTAAGTAAAAGTACATGTAAAACTGAAAGTCTTATGCAGGTATGAAGGATTGATATCATCTTTTATAAGAAATGGTATGGTCCCGTGGTTAAAAAAAAAAAACTACTGGAAGTTAAAAAAATGGAAACATGTCAATAGAGGGAAATGTAAATGATATAGGAAAATATAAAAAATACCCATAATCCATCACAAGGTAACATTATAAAACTCATATTGCATTGGTATATTTTCCCTTTTTCACTTCTGTGTGTATGTGCATTTGTATAATAGTATGTTATGTTAAAAAGTGGAAGTACTACATATAATCAGTGTTGTATGCTGCTCCCCTCCCAATTTCAAATTGTAAAACTTTCTCCAAATTCCATAAAAGTTCTTCCAACACCCTTTATTAATGGCTGTTTGATATTGCAGCTTGAATATGAAACTTAGCCACTTCTGACTCTTGGCATTTTGGTTGTTTTCAATTTTCTCTCTCTGCCTATTTGGAGAGTCTCAGTTACTAGACGGCAGGTGAGGGGGGGATCTTGGCTGACTTTCAGAAGGTGGAGAGGGTTGGCAGTGAGGTAGGTAGGGCACACAGGAGGGCAGCTCTTTCCCATGAGCTGAGGTGGGGTTGTTCAGGTATAGTCCCATCTGGGGAGAACACTGAGAACCCAAGCTCTAGATCTTCATCACTGATCTCTATGGGTGGCTGCTCCTCCTTCCCCATCCTAGTTGCAGCTCCTTATCATGGTTGTATTACCTCATTTTTTCCTTCATGGACTGTGGATCAACTACAATAAGATCAGTCAAGAGGTAAATTTCATGTGTCTGACAGGCTCTGACACAGGTTTTACCAGGAGTGCAATAGAAATTCTCAAAAGCCCCTTACTAGGTTGATTGGTTTCTGGTCCATTTCTCTGTTCTCTTTTTCCTCCCTTTGCTCTATTCTCCTTTTGGTAGGGCTGTGACTGGGAGGAGAAGGTAAAACTTGCCCTTGGAAGAAAATGCATTCCCTCCTGATTATAAGGAGTACATGTACTCCGTGGTTTAATGGGCTTGCATGCTGCCCTTCAAAATACCCTAAACCAAGGTGAGGAATGGGGGCCCTTGAATACTGTTTGCCAAGCTCACTTGCCCACTGTGAGCCATGCTCCCTGGGGGAAGGTTTCAGGTGCTGGACTCCGTAATTGGGTCAGAAGGCTCAGATGAGAGGAGTTCCTACCTTGCTCTTAAAGTGCCAGAGGCTGAGTTGGGTTTGGGTTCTTCGAATTTATTAGGAATCTGGCTGGGGAGGAAAGTAGGATTAGGGTCACTCCTTGGCCAGGCTTGTCTGAGTGGGAGAGTTCAGCTGACTTACCTAGTTTGGTTTCAAAACTGTGATCTAGCTAGGGATCTTTCTGGGTGTGAATGTCATCACTTCTTTTTAGGCTATTCTCGGGGCTTGAACAGTTCCAGTGTGGATTTTCTCAAAAATGGACATCTGATGAAAACATTGGGCTTCAGTGTTTAATAACTAACACAGTGCTTGGCACACAGTAGCGGGTGAACAAATATTTGTTGAATGACGTTGTTGTTCCAGGCCTCCATTTCTTGTCTTATAAAAGCAAAATAAAAACATCAAAAAGTCCAAACATAACATCGCAGGCAAACAGTTCTCCAGTGACTACCTTTTTCTTTGGGCACCCGATCCAAGCAGGCCTTTGTTTTCTGCTGAGTGCCGGCTGCACAGTTAGTTATCTGCTGTGCCCATGCATTTTTATGAGAATCAATTGCAGACTTTACCCAGGCTGGCGCCTCTAACTAATCGACTCACTCCAGCCTCTGTGGGGAGATAAACAGACCCAGGTGAGGAGGCTGTGCTAACTGTGCAGGGCTTGTCTTATGTCTGTTTCTTGTAGGTTAAAGTTAGGAACTGTGGTATTTGATTATTGTAAGGGCTTCTGAGCTTTACCAGTCTGTTTTGGAGAACTGTTCTCAGAGGCTTTGACTTTACTGTTCCTGAGCATTCTCCTAGAGACTGCTTTTTCTTGGTACAGAATCTTTGGGTGGTCAAGAGAAAGAAAAGCCGACTCAGCCCAGCTCTTCAGAACTCTGTGAATAGACTGCCTGGACAGACTGCCTGCTCATCCATGTAAGTGAGGACTTTGGAATCCAGGATCCGCCCCTCACATACTGTCATCATGATATGGGCTTCTTATTAAACATTCCTTGCCTTGTACGTGCTGTTTCCATAGCTTTTTTCTTTCCTTCTCATGAGGAGAGATTGTAAAGAGCAATTGCCCTTCTCTTCCAAAGCCCTTGGTACTTCAGGAAAAACTGTTCCAGCAGGGATGACATCACCTTTTTATTTTTCTGCTTCAGGATTTAAATAGAAGAAATGTGATCTACTTGCATGATAAGTCTGATTTGGCTAGAGCATGAAGTATAAATGGCTTTGGAATAAGAATCAAAAGAACCTTTTTACCTCTTTCCTACCTGGCACAGTTTATTCCCATATTTAGTTTCTTTACTGTAATCTAGTGAAACTGTAGCTTTAGCATACGGGAATGGTAGCTGGGAAAAGTTCCCAGTGGCTGGCCTAATTTTCCTGCTCTCCCTACTTCTTATCCCTCTACCCCCAGATCATGGCGCTCCATCCCCGCAGAGTCCGGCTGAAGCCCTGGCTGGTGGCCCAGGTGGATAGTGGCCTCTATCCTGGACTCATCTGGTTACACAGAGACTCCAAACGTTTTCAGATTCCCTGGAAACATGCCACACGTCATAGCCCCCAACAAGAGGAAGAAAATACCATTTTTAAGGTAAAGGACTTCTTTACCATATGAGTTAAAAATTCTTCCAGTTTTCGGAACTTTCTGGGTTGGTTTGTTTTTATTTTGTCAGTTTTGACATGAGGAATACACTAAATCTAAAACTGATGAAACAGATTTATGATAGAAGTACCCAAACTTATCAGGCATAGTACTTCTTGGGGCATGTCTCTTGAAGCCCTCTATTTCCCATTGGTTGAAGGTATTTAATTCATGTTCCAGAGGAGTTGAGGTGGGGTCAGCTAAACTGTAAGTGGTTGTACTGATGTGCTTAGGTCAGCCACTTTTCTTCATTCCTTCAAGGCCCTTGCTTGAAGACAGGTGCTTAGACCTGAGGATGGCTCTTAGACTAGGGCAGAACTTGTATTTAGCACAAGCTAGGGAACCTATTAGGGAATATGGCCTGTAAGATGGGTGTAGAGGGCCTTCAAGACGTTATTTTTTTAATATTAGAATATATTGCCCATATTCATAATGTCTCCTTAAAAGTTAAGAATAACTTTTTAATTATTTCAAATTTTTAATTCTTTCAATACATTTTCTGTGGTATTGGGATTGAACTTGGGGCCTTGCACATGCAAAGCACACTCTCTTACCACCGAACTACAGCTCTGGCTTAATTATGTTTTTTTAAAATAAAAAATAGGTCTGATATGATAGTCATTTTATTGAGCTGAAAATAAGATTTAATCACATAGCATCTTACAAAATTGAAGTGAAACCAAGGGCAGTAGGTTCCATGTAGTTGTACTTCCACAAGATGCACTTCTACTTCAGACCAACTTCTCCCTGCTGCTCCCTTCCATCTCAGAAGTAGATTTAATTCCTGAAGTCCCAATTCACAGAGAAGCGAGTTTGCCCTTTTCTTCCCTGTGAACTGGAAGGCAGAAGTGTAATCCAGCCCTGACTGTGGGCCTCTCAAGATTGATGTCCTGACTTTTTGTTGATATTGGATCAGGAAAGGGCAGGAAAGGTAGGGTCAGAGCTTACACGAAAGCCATCCTAGTGATATTTCCCCACTGACTGGGTTATGCCAGGTGTAGAGAGGAGAGGCAGAGAGAAAACTGGCCTGTGGGTACTTAGAAGGAATGTAAATGAACACACCTAATGTAGATATAAGTAAAAAAGAGGTGTTATAGAAAATATTTGCAAAAAACTTCCCAGTTATTGAAGTTGGCCTTGAGGAGGGGATTGGCCTGCCCTGGATTTCTGACCTCCCTGTGGCCTTGGTCTGAAACTGAATTTGCAATTGAAGTGTCCAGTTGGTCATGCGGAAGAGGCTAATTCCTGAATGCCTCACATACGAGGGTGACCTGAATGCTTGGGGTTTGAGGAAACTCTGGGGAGTCTGCTTGGCTTTATTTGTATCACTGTATCTGCAGAATGTGAGGGAGGGCCTGGGAGATCAGGAGAAGAGTTAGGGTGCTTTCGCTGAGCCCAAGCTCTGATACGCCTTTAGTAAGACACATGGGTGAGGAACTGGCATGCACTGGGTGCATGTGTCTATGATCTCACTTAATTCTCATGATAACCCCTGAGAGAGGTATTACCTGCATGTTGTAGATGCAGAGGCTGACTCTCTGAGGGTCTAACTTTTCCAAAATCACACAGCCAGTATATGGTGGATCCAGGATTTGAACTCATGTCTTTTGTTCTTCTACCCCCTTCCTACTATAACACTGCCTTTTCTAAGACTTATGGAGAATAGGAGTATCTGGCCTCAAATCATGCTAACATCAACTTTCCCTTCAGCAAGGCAAGTAACCTCAATGGGCTTCAATTTCCCCATAGAATAAATTTGGTATGAAAGCAGTCTTAACTTGCAAGACTCACATGATTATTGTGGAAATCAAGTGAAAATAAGTTTTGGAATGGATTTGTAAAGCATCATAAAAATAGATTTTCTTGATTTTAGAAAGAGAAATAAATGGTGGGTATGGTGGTACACACCTGTAATTCCAGTGATTCAGGAGGCTGAGACAGGAGGATTGCAAGTTTAAGACCAGCTTCAGCAACTTAGCAAGGTCATAAACAACTTAGCCAGACCTTGTCTCAAAATTTTATAAAAAAAAAAATAAGGATCTACACAGAGATCAGGATTTCTCTAAAGCACAACTCAGGATGGGTTTGAACAAGTAATATTTATAAGTCACAAAGATTGCCACATGGTACTTCTTAGGACCACCTTTCTTGATTCTGAAAAGGGTACAGTCTTCTGATGTATTAGACATGGATCCTTAGTGTCATCTGAGTGGGCCAGGAGGATGCTGTGTGGTAAGCAGGAAGGTGGGGCTGTGGTTCTGGCTTAGTTTGGCTGTTCTCCATGGAGGGGCAGGGCTTTAGGGAACCACAGAAATTTGCAGGCTTCTGCCAAAATCTGCACAGCCTGAGTTGACTGGGTGGGACCAGAGTGAGCATGAACATGGAGGATCAAACAAACAGAAGGAAAAACATGGGGAGGCAGCAATAGGTACAGCAAGTAACTGCAGATGTGTCTCCCAGACACTAGGGACCAGTGAAGTTGAAATCACCTAGGGGATTTGATGGAATGGAGCAGCAGTTAGGCCCCTACTTCCTGCTAAGCCACTGAGTTCTTTATCTCTACCACAAAACAAATGTAGGAACCCAATCTGAAAAGATAGTAAGAGGAAGTGAGTCTGAATTAGAAGAGGAGGAGGAAGATTTTGATTAGCCCTGGAAAGAATCTTCCTCATGACTACCAGGCTCTGTAGGGGGGTGACTGAGGGAGATCAAAAATCTCTAGGATTAGGTAGAAAAATTCAATTTCTGTTTTAGGAAGAAGTCTATGGTCAGAACCAGAGACAGAGAAGTTGGTTTGCACAAGTGACATGCCCTTTCAGCTTGAAAAGTTAATGTGTGCTTCATATGTTGAGTTTTCTCTAATGACATTTCCTTATTCTACATCAGGTGTCACACTCCTGAAGACAGTTCAGAGATGAAAGCATATGTTAGCAACAAGGGAGAGGTATCCAGTGAGTGGAAACTTAAATACCTGTTAGACCTGGATGGGTTTCTACTACCTGCTTTGTTTCTAAGGAACTTGGTTTATAGGTCAAGCAGCCTGGCTTTTCCTTTTTCTCACTGGGGAGACTACCTTGTTCCCCTTCTCTGGTGATACTGCTGCAAGTTCCCCTATTTGAAATCAGAGAGGAAGAGTCAAAGTGGTTTTAGCCCATGATACCAGCCACTGCCATGGTGATGGCATGAGGTTTCTAGTGCAGGTGGAGTTTGAGAATAGGGAAAGATGAGAAGTATGGGTTTATTAGAATTTGCAGCCCTCAGCCAAGTGGGGCAAGCTGACCCCACATAGTATGCTTCCTGTCCTCCTAAAGGCTATGGGTTTCTATAGTTCTTTATGTATAAGATTAAAGACTGAAGGGAGGGGACCAGCCAGACAAATTCTTTTTATCTGCCACCCCTCTTTGTTGTACATATTCCTACATAAGCAATCCATAATAAAAATGGTTAAGGAAGAAGAAAAAAGATTTGCTCCAGACTTTTTATTATTTTCAACCCTTCATTGTAGCATCGACATCTTGACAGGTGCTGGTACTAGGCTTGAGATAAGAGTCCTCCTTTCAAAGTTAAGTTTGCACATAACTTATTTCCCTTTGGCCCCTCCTGGTCCTAAGGGCACTGTTGCCTACTGTAATCTCTGTAAAATGGGATAAGACTGTGGGGCACTCACCCAGATGTGTGTACGTCTGTATGGGAAGGGGTGAACATATGCTTTGCAGTGGTCCCGGGCGATAGTAGGCACTAACTGCAGTTTCCTGTTCCTCAGGCCTGGGCTGTAGAAACGGGGAAGTACCAGGAAGGGATAGATGACCCTGACCCAGCAAAATGGAAGGCCCAGCTCCGCTGTGCTCTCAACAAGAGCAGGGAATTCAACCTGATGTATGATGGTACCAAGGAGGTGCCTATGAACCCAGTGAAGATATATCAAGTGTGTGACATCCCTCAGCCCCAGGGTTCGATCACTAACCCAGGTAAGGCCCAGGTGCTGGGGAGAAGGTGGGCTATATGCCAGATTGTGGGATGGACTCTTAAAGAGATAGTCAAATTGAAAACAGCCTGGTTTTCAGAGTTTTAGACTGGTAAAACTTGAAAACCTATCCCTAGGAAGGACCCAGAGAGCAAATGGTATATGTTCAGTAATGTCTTCTTGCTCACATAGGGGAAATGGTTATTGCCTGCATTGTTAGAGCATGAGAAGTACAGTATAGAGTTCTGCTGTAAAAATAGCCTCTCCTGGGACTCGAGAGGCCAGGTTGTTTTATAGGAGGAGGAATTAGAGCCTAGAAGGTTTGAGTTCTAAACTTCTTTTTATCACTTGACCTGTTGTGGGACTTGAATCAAGTCATTGGGCCTCTTCAGCTCTAAAATGCAGGATCTCATCTTTCTTGCCTATTTCAAGGGCTATTGTAAGAATCAATTAACAAGACATGTAAAAGCTATTTAGTTCTTTAGAAATGTTGGGTGAGTGATCATTTAATTTGTAGGATACTTTTGCTAAGAGAAAAACACCTGATCCTCCTATTTATTCAACTTAGTGAATAGTGAAAGCCAGATAATTTAGACATGTATTCCAGTGAATCCAGGGAGGCCCTGCCATAAGAGTCTCTGCCTCATGAGAAGCTCAGAAGGGTGGAGCTCAACGAAGACTTGCCAAATAAAAATTTACTTTGCAGAGTTCTTAAAAGAGGTGCCTGAGTATAGAAAGTTAGTAGTAGCAATACTAATGTACAGAGATTAAAGTTTAAGAGAAGGGAATGGAGTCTGCAGCTTCTGGATTGGGGAAGAGAGAAGAGCATATATTAGGACCCATAGGAAGATTTGGAACTGGGAGTTAGTATACCCTAGGTTCCCATTTTTTTTAAAGCTAGGGCATTGAGAATGCATACTAATCCTGGGGAGACTCTATGCTAGTAGTTCCTTGCTTAGGTGATGGGTCAGCTGCAGTGATGATAGTTCAACTTGAAGCACTAACTTATGGGCATATGTATTATGTATAGGCTCTACAGGGTCTGCTCCCTGGGATGAGAAGGATAATGATGTGGATGAAGATGATGAAGAAGATGAGCTTGACCAATCTCAGCACCATGTTCCTATCCAGGATACTTTCCCCTTCCTGAACATCAATGGTCAGTGGACTGGTGGGTGGTATAGAGGGATAAGGAGGATGCAAGGATTTTGGCTTTTAAACTGCTGACCCCTTGGCTACCATTGCCTGGGAGTAGTGATTGGGCCCTGTGGTCAGACTGCACTGGTCTGAGAGCAAGGAGTAGACACAGGCAAGGGAACTTTGCTGGCTCAATTATTCCAGTGCAATGAAGTGGTTTCTAGGCATAAAGGACATCTAATTCAAAGAAATAAAAAACAATTAAACTCATTCCAAATCCCACATGCAAACATCAGTGGTTATAAATTTTACCTGTTTTTTTTCCCCCCCAGGGGAAGTGCAGATAACATTTTTATGAATTGTAGGCAAACTGTTCTATCAGTTCCCTTGGTATAAATTCTATGTCACTTCCTTCTACTAGGTAGGGACTACTCTACCTAGGCTATATCATGGGAAACTTGCTGTTTCTATAGCTGTTGATACTAGGCTCTGATGGGATTTATCAGCAAGGAACCTTTCTTTTGTGAACTTTTGAATTCAGCTTCCCAGGAACAATTAGTTGAGAGGTTGGGAGGCCTCTATGTGACTGCACATATTCTGAAGATACTCAAAACACAAGTTAAATTGTTCTTCTGCAATATTTTCATGTCATCTCTCCACTGAAATGCTCTGAGCTAAATGATTCACATCCAGTTCAGCTATTTGCCATATTTTTAGTACCACCTGTATGTCATGAGTCACTTCAAATAACTTGTGCCACCTAAAAAAACTTAGTATATCAAGATGTTTTCTTTAGGATTTGGGGGTCTCTATCTTTGAGAACCAGGAATGACACTTATTGTCTGTCCAGTGTCCCTCCTTCACTTATCCTGCCATTTAGATATTTGTAACCAAGTGATGAGTAAATAAAAAGTCCGTGGAATTTACTTCTAGGTTAGTATTGCCATGTGCTATATTCTCACGTAGAGAAATTTTAAGATCTGGACATCTGGAAATGCAGATGTTTTCCCAAATTTTTGGCTGACTTATTCTGTTCTTCTCATCCTTTAAAAGTATGAACCAGTTACTCCAGGATCCTCATTTCCTATCTCTGCTCATATTTTATTAAAGTTAACATGTGTCCTTATGTTTTGAGCTGCCTTGGATTATTTTTGGAAAGGTGTGGACTATATATTATCAACAAAAATGTCAATTGGATACATAGATTTAACTATACTTGAACAAAGAGGGTCAAAGAAACATTAACCTCTGTGATTTCAGAGCTGTTGGGGCAGAGGAAGAAGAATTATTGAAGAATAGATGCCTAAGAGGTGAGGCTAGGAAGAGGAATCTATAGACTTTAGAGCAAGCCAACTTTGACAGTAACAGGGAAATAGGATTAGGCTTTTTACTCTTTTTTAAAAGACTAAATTGAGTATATTTGAATGAATAATATGTTCACATGGTTTAAAATCCATAATCGTACAATAAGGTAATCAATTGAAGTTTTCTTCCATTCTCTCCCTGAACTTTCCAATTCTTTCCCTGGAAAAGACAAATCTATGTTCTTGAGTATCCTTCCAGACCCTTTTTAAAATATATTTTTAAATTTTTAATTTGTTCTTTTTAGTCTTCCAGACATTTTATACATGTAAAAATATTTGTTGATTTTAATAGAATTTCTATATATTAATATTTACTCAAAGATAATCGGCTAATTCAATTGAGTTCACTTTATGGAAGACAACTAGCTTCTATGTAATTGCTGAGGCCAAACTTTGTTGCAAAGCATCTCACACTCATGCCTTTTCTAATGTAATGCTTCCCTTCCCCAAGATAAATCACTTGTTTCTGTTAATCTTTTGCAAATATAAGTTTTTAAAACTATGAGTTTATGGGGGTAAATAATATGATTAGGAAGGAGGTGTTGGGGAATCTTATTTTGTATTGTGAGTTATGGGAATCATTGGGGTGGGAAATCACACTGGATCATGTTTCAGTGTTTGATTCTTGTCTTTGGATCTTGTTAATTCTTAGATCCTCAGAGTGGGTGATGTTCTTGTGTGCTACTCTTTCCTGTTCACCCACATCCTTCTGTTCTAGGTTCTCCCATGGCACCAGCTAGTGTGGGCAACTGTAGTGTGGGCAACTGCAGCCCTGAAGCAGTATGGCCCAAAACAGAACCTTTGGAGATGGAAGTGCCTCAGGCACCTATTCAGCCTTTCTATAGCTCTCCAGAGCTGTGGATCAGCTCTCTCCCAAGTAAGTAAGCACTGATCTTTCTGGGTCTTCATCTCTTACAATAATCCCTTCTTATTGTACTTTCTGCTTCCATTTCTTTGGAATGTGTGGAGTAGCTGCCTGCCCCACGAGTGCCCTATTTCCTGACTGTTAGATGAGTCACTAGGGAAGCAAAGAAACATTGACCCATGCCTCGTTGCTCATGGGGATGTTCTGATTGGTTATATAGCTTCAGGTTACTCACCTCTTAGGTGGGTAGGAGGCCTGAGTTTATTAGTCTGACAAGGGGATTTGTGGAAGAAAAAAAAAAAAAAACAACAGCTGTGGGATAGGGAGGTTAATAGCCATGGATATGGTCAAGGAGGTTCTTGATTTTGAGGAGCTTTAGGGGTCTTTCTGAATTTGGTACAAATTTATCTTAAAGAAGAATCTACACCATTACCCTGATCTCCCTTTCATACTATGCTTTGGTGTGAGAGCAAATATTTTGTCCAAGAGGCTAAGTAGCTTTGATAAAGCCTATTGGGTTCAATGAAGACTTGCCAAATAAAAATTTACTTTTCAGAGAACTGTGCTTTTGGTGTATATTAGAATAGATCCAGTATGTGCTCACATGTGTGATTTCTAGAAAGATGGCTAAGTATTTCTTTTTGTTCCTCTGGCTCCTTTGTATCAAAAATTAGACACAAATCAGACACCTTACTTTTTAGCTCCTTCCAATGCTTATTGGTGTGGACAGTTGCTCAATGAATATGGAACACCAGGACTCAGCACTTTGGTGAAATTATAGTCCTTAGGATGTGGTAACTGACCAGATGGGCCTCAAATGCTTTGCTTCGAAGCAACTTTGTGTGTGAATATTCCTGGGATATGTTGATGTTTCCCTTTATTACAGGAAGGATAACTCTAGCAGTGGCCTTTCTGAATTCCAGTTGAAAGATGGCTTGATAATGATGGACTTGCATGAGTCTTAGGGACAGACAGGCAGAGAAGTGGAGCAGAACTCACTGTCATGTCTCACCTTGCAGTGACTGACCTGGACATCAAGTTTCAGTACCGTGGGAAGGAATATGGGCAGACCATGACAGTGAGCAACCCTCAGGGTTGTCGGCTCTTTTATGGAGACCTGGGTCCCATGCCTGACCAGGAGGAGCTCTTTGGTCCTGTCAGTCTGGAGCAGGTCAAATTCCCAGGTCCAGAGCATATCACCAATGAGAGGCAGAAGCTCTTCACCAGCAAACTACTAGACGTCATGGACAGAGGTCTGATCCTGGAGGTCAGCGGTCATGCCATTTATGCCATTAGGCTGTGCCAGTGCAAGGTGTACTGGTCTGGGCCATGTGCCCCATCACTTGTTGCTCCCAACCTGATTGAGAGACAAAAGAAGGTCAAGCTATTTTGTTTGGAAACATTCCTGAGTGGTGAGTCTTTTTTCACAAGTTTGATGGTGGGAATTGCTCCTGGAAGTTTAATCTTCCTCCATCCTTCCTTTTTTCTTCCTCCTTTCCTGGCTTAGCAGTGATCTTAACCAAAAAAATTTCTTCTGCTGGAGGTCAGGGAAAAGAGAACCTAGATTCTGAAGATGAAAGTGACCTAAGCATGAGGAAAGGAGTTCCACTAGAAGGCAAAAATATATGGAAACTATTTCTAGAATGATTGTGGCTCCTTCAGTGGCAGGAGGAAGACAGTATTATTGTTAATCCCTGAATGTTATTAGCTTATATTTAACTTTAGAAGGTGGTCTTGTTCATCCTGTTCAGAAAAACATACTTTTTTTTTTGGAGAAATATTCGATGAATCGAAGCAGATAATTTTAGGAAGATTATTAAGATGTGAATTTCACAATGTGGTTTGAATCCCAAGATTAGATCAACTACATCTAATAGAAGAACCCTCTGAAATGATGGGGATGTTTTCCAGTATGGTAGCCTGGTAACTGCTAGCCACATGTGACCATTGAGCATGTAAGTGTGACTAATGTGGCGAAGGGACTGTTCCCTTTCCTTTCCTTTTTTTTTTTTCTAAAAAAGAGAGAGAATTTTTTTAATATTTATTTTTCAGTTTTTGGTGGACACATCTTTATTTTATTTTTATGTGGTGCTGAGGATTGAACCCAGCGCCCCGTGCATACCAGGCTAGCGCGTTACTGCTTGAGCCACATCCCCAGCCCTCCCTCGCTTTTTTTTTTTTTTGGTACCAGAGATGGATCCCAAGGGCACCTATCCACAGAGCCACATTTCCAGCCCTTTTTATTTTTTTTTATAAGAACATCAATGACTTTATTTTTATTTATTTATTTATGGCACTGGAGTTGAACTCGGGGGCACTCAACCGCTGAGCCACATCTCCAGCCCTATTTTGTATTTTAGAGACAGGGTCTCCCTGAGTTGCTTAGTGCCTCCCTTTTTTGCTGAGGCTGGTTTTTGAACTCACAATCCTCCTGCCTCAGCCTCCCGAGCTGCTAGGATTATAGGTGTGTGCAATTTATTTATTTTTATATGGTGCTAAGGATGGAACCCAGTGCCTCACATGTGCTAGGCAAATGCTGTACCACTGAGCCACAATCCCAGCCTTTATTTTTTTTATTTTGAGACAGGATTTCACTAAGTTTCTTAGAGCCTTGCTATGTTGCTGAGGCTGACCTCAAACTTATGACCCTCCTGCATCAGCCTTCTGAACAGCCGGGATTACAGGCTTGTACCACTATTCCTGGCTGTGGGACTATTTACTTTTAATTAATTTAAAATTAATTGCCACATGTAGCTAGTGGCTAAGGGGCAGCATGAAAGATGGTATTTACTGAATGGTTATGGACTGACCTAATATATCAAATTTATTCTTCTATCTTCTGTAGATCTTATTGCCCACCAGAAAGGACAGATAGAGAAGCAGCCACCATTTGAGATATACTTATGCTTTGGGGAAGAATGGCCAGATGGAAAACCTCTGGAAAGGAAACTCATCTTGGTTCAGGTGAGAAAATAAGGGTGTATCAACAGTTCTTCTTTTTGCCAACACATTAGTCCCCAGGTGTGGGTTGAGTCCTGATTGAGTATACATTAGTCTGTGTGAATTTTTATCCCATAAAATAGGGTAGCAGATTCAGACTTTGTACGGTAGAGCCAACCTAGAGAAGGTGAGTTTCTAAAATAGGTGATTGATTTAGTAAAGACCTTATTTTTCATTCTCTTACTGATATTAGAGTCTTATTGAGATCTTTTAAGATATGACTCTTGCTAGCTTTTCTTAGAAAAGCCTTTTGAGATGTTTTTTAAGAAGGTAACCTTATTCTAGGAGTGGCAGCAAGGCCACTTGGGGTTGTACAGTGAAGCTGGCAATAGATGGCATTTGGTCTTGCTATATAAGCAGCCATTTATTTAGGCATTTGATGTGATGCTACATGTACATTCTCTACTTTCAACTGAACCAACTTCTACAGTGAAACTTGGCAGATGATCTGGAGAGATGAAGGTATATCCTATATCTAGACATTACAGTGGTACTTCCTCAAAGACTCCTTGGTTCTTCTACAATCTTGGTCCCTCTTGCTAAAAATACCTCTTCAAGTTGAGCGTGGTGGCACATGTGTATAATCCCAGAGAAAGTCAGGGGCCTGAGTCTGGAGGATAGCAAGTTTGAGATAGGCTTCAGTTTGAGACCCCCTCCCCACAAAAAATATAAAAGGAGGTGGGGGAATTCCTGGGCTCTATCTCCAGTTACCAATAACAAACAGATAAAAATTACCTTTATCTCACTGGACATTTGTGTGCTTTGTGTCCTGAACAGGTCATTCCTGTGGTAGCTCGGATGATCTACGAGATGTTTTCTGGTGATTTCACGCGATCCTTTGACAGTGGCAGTGTTCGCCTGCAGATCTCGACTCCAGACATCAAAGATAACATTGTTGCTCAGCTGAAGCAGCTTTATCGCATCCTTCAAACACAAGAAAGCTGGCAGCCCATGCAGCCCACCCCCAACATGCAACTCCCCCCTGCTCTGCCTTCCCAGTAATCTTGAATGCAGTCTTCTCCCTCTATTTTTTTTACAACATTGTACATATGTTTTTGTGATTTTTGAAAAATATTCAGATTTAACCAGCTTTTAAACCTTTTTCTTTTAATAATGTTAGAATTCTCTGACTTTTAAAATATACCTAGATTTTAAAGTTGATTTAATTTATGGAAAAAAAAATCACTCCTCGAATTTCCTTTTCTTTTTAAAAACATCAGATGGTAGAAGGAAATTTAGTCTGGGAGTTTGGACACCAATATTCCAGCTGCAGCTTTGCTTCCATTGTGACCTTGAACAATTCATTTAACTTTTGGGCTTCAAATTTATCACTTGTAAATAAATCAGAATTGGAAGGATGCCCAAAATTATGTTCAGTTTTAAAACTCTGATTCAGGAACTGTATTCTACTTGTGCAAGGCAAAACTGCCTGGATCAGAACCTGTCTGCATTGTTCATGCACCACATTTTTCTTCTTGCTTTCATTAAAGTTCCCTCAAGCACTGATATGTCCAGGATTGAGCTCTGTTTGACCTGTTCTGCTAGTACAGTAAGCTGGCTCCCTGATGGGGAAAGTAAGAAGCTGACTGGTTGCTTAGGAACCAAGCTTGATATCTAAATAGAAATGGGTGCCAAAGTCTGAAAGTCACCTTGCTTGTGGAGTAAAAGTTCATAAATTGAGCTTCTAAAAGGAAGCTGATGACACAGAAAGCCTAGGGATTCTGTGAAAGAATGAGTTGTCAGGTGTTCACCTTGTTACAACTCAGATACCACCTTGTGTGTGAGAGAGATGAGCACATGTGACTCAGTGGTAGATTTCAGAGGCAGGAGCTCCCTTTTTTTTAATTTCCTTTTCTGGGAAAGGCCTATGAATGAGCTGGCCACCTAAGATATATTCCTATGACTATAAAAGGGCCTGCTCCTGTTTGGAGACTTTTAAAAAGTTTTCTCATCATTTGGATTTTTGATGTTGGAAAAAATGAGGTGTTGGGTGTCCTAAGGCCAGGGTGTAGAAGGGTTGGGCAGCACTCTTCTGGAACAGACTCACCTAGCACAAACCTGCTCATCTTCCTTGCTAGGGGAGGTATCTGGGTGTGAACTATGAAGGTGAGGAGTGGTACAGAACACTGCAACTATATCATGAACTAATCCATCTAGTAATCTTTGCTTAGCTCCTGACTCTTCTAAGAAGAAATTATACATGATTTAAACTCTTATCACCTAGTAGAAAACCTAGTTGTGGGCCCCAGTCCTCTTGAATACTGAATCTGGTTGTATGTTTGTGTCAGATCATAGTAAGGAAGCCCATGTGTAGCCTTAAACCCTTAAACTAAACCACCTCCTACTTTTCAAGTAACTGAAAGTTGGGCTAGCTTTATTTAGAGAAATTAAAAGCTCAACTTAATCAAAGGTGACAGTGGTAGTTATTTAAAATGCTTAAGAATCAATTTAGGGTCCTTAAGAGAATTAAGGAATCTGGTATTTTTAAAGCATGTTCAAGAGAAATCTGGGTAAAGACCAAGTGCTCACAAGAAAGAGTTGGGCTTTTAGAGACCAGGAATCATGCAAGGAATAAAACCATTGCATTTTTTGGTAATTTGTTGAGTAGCTGAAGTGAGAGATTTGGTTCTGATGTTTGACTGTCTAATCTGTATCTGGGAATGCAAAGTTAAAAAGAACCCATTTTAAGTAAGTTGGGAGGATAACTTTGAATTGGGGGTGGTTGCTCTCCCTTCTTTTGTGGAATGCTACCAACCAGGCTCCCTAACTAGATGGGAGGCTAGATGATGTGAGCTGGTAAAGAATGGTAAATATAGTGTTCTGAAGTGTCAAGAAGGACTGAGCTTTTAGGATGTGATTGCAATGAAAAGTTTATAAATGTGTCAAAGGGATGGATAAATGGTCTCAAGTGATTTTAACTAGATAGCCTGATTTCTTGTTTTAAATCTTCTTTAAGATGCCGAGAAAGTACACCCTGGGATCTCCTCTTACTACCTCCAGTCCTCTTTTTCTGGTTTTGATAGTACCAGATATGTTTCATTTATTGGGGACTCAGTCTGCTGTCTCCATTGCTGGTTATACCAGTTACTCTGTGGGCATCTTCTACTGTCTTGTCTTCACCTTGTTTAAGCCTGGGAAGGAAGTTAGATCGTCAGTTCTTCCTGTTTTGCACTGTGCACCCCATCACACTAGATTAATTCAAAGTTAAAAAGAAATTATGAATAGTAAATTGGGAGGAAAAGGATTTGGGTTGGTTCCTTCCCCCTACAATTAGGTCCTTGGTTCTATGTTGCCATAGCACCCTAAACTTTCTCTTTCAGAATAATCATGTCCCTTGTAATTGTGTATCCTGCTTGACTACAAACTTGTTGAAGGTGAAAATTGTCTTGAACTTTGCTCCCAGCCTTAGAAAAGTGTCTGATACAGTGTGTTCTCAAATATTTTGTTGCTGTAATAAATGAATGAACAAAATAAATTTCCATTTTTGGGATTTACTGCTAGCCACCATGAGAAAATAAAATAAATATGAGAAAGAAAAAGAATCTAAAATTAGAGAACTAGTTCTATCAATTTCTAGTCTCTGCTTCAGATTCCCTTTGTGCTAAAAACCAGTAGACTGGCAACCCCTACAAGCTGGTCCTCCTTCCATATTGGCCCCATTTTTACTCCGTTGTTATCTCTGAAGTGGTATCTGCAGACTGTGAAAAGAGATCTATGTTCCCATAGTTCCCTATACCTCTAGTATAGGCACCTTACAGCCCATAAATTTGGGTCATTTCCTCAGATACTTTGGTTTTCTCAAGAAAATTTTTCTTTTCATGGCATGGGTCACATCTCTGTCAAATAACACAATTTCTTACTAATAATCTGAATGAAACACCTCTGGATCTTCACTTCTCATTTGGTAGTGGGGATTGAACCCAGGGGTCCTTTACCACCAAAATACACCCCCAGTTATTTTATTTTGTATTTTGGGACAGGATTTGGGAAAGTTGATGAGGCTGGCCTTGAACTTGGCCTTCTCTTGCCTCAACCAGCCTGAGTAGCTGGGGTTACAGGAATATACCACAGCTCCCAGCTTGACATCTCATTTGAAATCATGAAACGGGATTCCTATGATATGAAGTCCATGAAGGTGACTGGTTTTATTTGTCTTGTACAATGCAATATTTTTGAAGCCTAGGAATATGCCTAGCACATATTCAGTCAATAGTGACACCTTTACACCCTGCCTAGAAATATCTGCTCCATGGAGCTCGCCTATCAAATTTGATTTAGAGAAATAAAAGTTAAAAAAAAAAAAAGGTTTCCAGCACCACTCACAGCTAAGGATATTCTGCAAATTTCAGATGACTTGAGACACAATTTATTAGGAAACGTTGATATCCCCAGATACAAAGGGGGTTTATTCTTTTCTACACTTTTTACTGGTGCATTATGGTTGTACACAATGGTGGGATTTCTCGTTACATATTCGAACATGCACACAATAAAGCAATATAATTTGGCTAATATTTTTCACCAGTATTTCCGCTTTCTCCCCCCTCTCCCCCCAGCGGCTCCCTGGGAGATAAGTTCTCGGTGTCCTGTCTGGCTTTCCAGTCAGGAGAGCCCTCAGATTTCATAAACACAAGCAGAGCACACCCGGAAGCAAAATAAAGGCAAGGGCTCACAGTTAGTTTAAACAGGTACCTCTATCTTTAGTCCACTTCCGCCCCTCCCCTTTCCTAGAAGATGGGCGGGGCGGCTCCTGCCCGGCCGGAAGTGGCGGCGGCTGAAGGCAGCTCCCACTTCCGCCACTCTGTGGGGCTGCCTTGCCATTGGTTCATTGCGAGGAGCGCCTGCGGACTGGATGACATCACCAGAAAAGGGAGAAGTGGGTGGGGCTTGAATGGGTGCGCGTGCGCAACAGGTTGTTTTCGCCGGCCTAAAGCGGAGCAGGTTGCAAGGGTCCTCCGCGCACTGGCGGGACTTCCAGTGTTGTGGCGGGGCGCGGAGAACTAGCCACCTTCCTGGCTGTGGGCAGGAAACCGGAAGGGGTTCCTGAGCCCGCGAACCTGAAGCGGAAATGGAAGTGTAACGTTTTTGAGGGAGACAGCTACCTCACTTAACAAGTCTCTGTAGTCTCAGATGTGTGGTATGTGGGTGGGAGCCCATCTTCCCAGAGTGCTTGGGTTACTGCCAAAAAGGGAAGGCAGGGTCAGCAAAAGTTAAAACAACCCTCATGCAGTTCTAGCCGATTCCATTTATTCATTTATTTAAATTTACCATTTTCTTTTTAAAATTTTTTTTTACATGAGCTCTATTATTATTATTATTATTATTATTATTATTATTTGCATTACAATTCTTAGTATTTTTATGTCACAGGATGAGGTGGTTGTTACACATTCTAGTGTAATAAGTTGTTCTTGTGAAGAAAAGGGGAAGTTAGCAGCAAAACAGTACATTTGGAATCCAGAGCTCTGTCCCCAAAGGGCAGTTTTGGGTAAAATGTGTTGGAGTTTTGCCAGAGACTCTCTTGCCTTTTCTTAGACTAGATCTCCTTAAGTTTAGATTTAGAGGATGTAATTGGTAATAGGTACAATTTAGAATAGAAGTCAGTGATAATAGGAATCAAGCTAGAAGGTTTGAAAGACAAATTAGGGACCAAGGGATATTGGGTAGAATTGGTGATCCCATCTTGTCTGCCTTGGCTGAGTCTTCCAAAATAGGGGGAAGGACAAATAACTTTTGGAAAAATCTGTGAAACTTAATGGGAAGGCCCTTGGTAGGTTTCCTGTGTGTGACTGGCTGGTGTTAATAATTCCCTGCTACCACTTTGTTTCCAGGCTCTTCCTCAAGTGTCTGGAGCTGAGATGCGACCCAGGAAGGGAACTGTGGCTAGCTAAGGAGTCAAAGCTTGATGTTACTTCCAGATCTCATGTCAACACTGAGCCCTCAATTACTGGTGGCAGTTGCTCAGCAGACCCTGGGCATGGGAAAGAAAAAGGGTCCACCTCGAGCCATCTGCCTTCACCTGGCTGGAGAAGTGCTGGCTGTGTCCCGGGGGCTGAAACCTGCTGTGCTGTATGATTGCAACAGTGCAGGAGCTTTGGCACTCCAGAATTATCTGAAGGAGCTGCAAGGGCTAGGCTTTCTGACTCTGGGACTTCACATTCTTGAAATTGGAGAAAATAACCTCATTGTCAGCCCTGCACATGTATGTCAACACTTGGAACAGGTATTGCTTGGTACCATAGCCTTTGTGGATGTTTCCGGCTCCCAACCTCACCCTTCTATCTGTTCCCTGGACCAGCTTAAGGATTTGAAGGACGTCGTGACAGAGATCATCACACATTTGAAGGGGCTGCAGAGGGATCTATCCTTAGGAGTCTCCCACAGCATGCTCCATTCCTCAGACTGGAATCTTTGTACTCTATTTGGGATCCTCCTGGGCTATCCTGTCTCTTATACCTTTCACCTGAACCAAGGAGATGACAACTGCTTAGCCTTGACCCCACTACGGGTGTTCAGTGCTCGGATCTCATGGCTGCTAGGTCAAACCTCAGTCCTGCTCTATTCCTTTAGTGTCCCAGAAATCTTGTTCCCAGCCCTGAGGGACACTCTAAATGTCTGGGAGAAGAACCTCAGAGCCCAATTTAGGACTCAGAATGACTTTGCTGACCTCAGCATCTCCTCTGAGATAGTCACACTGCCGGCTGTGGCCCTCTGACTTTAATTTTTGTCCTCCTATGTGGAAGGCATTCAGTAAGTGCTCATCTCTGGGTTAGGGGTGTCGAATAGTGATCATTTAAAGTGCTGGTTTTAAGTGCCTGGGGACCCTAGAGAAGAATGCTGTATTCAGCTGGCCACATCATGAATGGGAATAGGTAGTGGTGGTGGTGATGCTAGCATTAGTAATACATATTGGCCATTTCTATACTAGGAGGTCTTCTTTACTTAACAGATGTGTCTGTTCATTTTTCACTGGATAAGAGTTAGAAGGAAAGAGACAGAAGGGGAAAAGAAGGGTTGTAGAGAACAAGCAGTATACCTGTGTGTGGTATCCTACCCTGTGTAGATAGTGTCTTTAGAAAAGGAAGACTGAGTCCTTTCTGTATGTTTCTGTACCTCCAACTGAATTGGTCTAAGGGGAGTAGACCAGGATGCTTAAGTGCCACACTTGTAATATGTTATTTAGGAATAAACTGAAGATTCCAGGGAACAGTCTGGTGAGGTAAAGTTTATTTATTTAGGCTAAAAAAATTGAAGTCAGAAATCCCAATTCAGTTGGAGGGTAAACCCAAGCTGTAAAGTACCCAAACCTTCTGTGTTTTTCATTGAGTTGTTTGCTGCTGATTTTTACTCCAGGCAGCTGTCACAAGTTATTCAGATTCTCAGGTTATCTTTGTTGGCCAGGAATACTGCCAGTGCTATAGCAATCACCACCGTCAGGATGGGGAGCCACTGACCACATTGCTTCTGTGTGGAGGGAAGGGAGACAGAAGAAAGCAGCCATAAGTCACTTAGAGAAAATATGGGCAAAAGCACTCCTTCCTATTCTAGCCTAAGGGAAGACCTTGGGTTGGTGCTAGAAAAAGCTTTTTACTTCACTGTTTCACTTTCTGTCACCTCTCTTGGGATAAAACCACTTTACTAGTGGTCCCTGGCCCAGGGATCATGTCCAGTAGAGGCCAAACATTTAAATGCTGATGTGAAAAATTCAGGGTGGAAAATAATTCAGCAAAATAATATTATTCTCTTTATATGCCTTAGTACCTTTGTTGTCCTTCCCTGTCCTTGTCATCATGCTGGCAATAGACTAAAAGAACATCCTTTCATACTTGAGTTAATCCAGCTTGAGAATCCCTTGCCTGAAATACTTAGGACCAGAAGTGTTTCAAATTTTGGAGGTTCAGATTTAGTAATATTTGCCTAGACTTTACCAGTTGAGCAGATCTCATGAAAAAAAAATCTGAAACACCAAATACTCTAAAATCTGAAACTTTTTGAACATCATGTCAATGCTCAAAAAGTTTTGTATTCAGAGAATTTCTATTTTTGAACATTCAGCTTAAAAATGCTCAGCCTATAGCAAATCTTTCCCTCAGGCCTTAAGAGTTCCACAGAAATTGGACCTGGATGCATGAATCAGTGTTTCATGACTGCTGTACTTTCAGCATGGACTAAATCAAGCAGAATAGGCAGAGTATTCAGAGCATTTCTGATTTTGAACATTCAGCTTAAGGATGCTCAGCCTATAGCAAATCTTCCCCTCAGCCCTCAAGAATTCCATGGAATTGGACTTATGTACATGAGTCAGTACATAAGTACATGTTTCATGACTGCTATACTTTCAGCATGGACAAAATCAAGCAGAATAGACAGGATGACTAGATATTGACATGGGCTGGCAAATTTTATCTGTAAGACTTGGCTAAAAAGAAATCATCCCACCACCATTTGTACAGGAGGATGGACCCTCTTACTCTGGGAGGTGGCTGCTGGCTGTGGTTCAGCTCTTCTCGACAGTGCTGCAGCTTACGCATGCAGGAGAGGTACTCGTCACTGAGGTTGTCTAACTCCGAATGCAGTTCTCTGCACTGGGGAGAATATCATCGGAGTCATCATCATCAATTCTATCTTGAGACAGAACCCAGGAAGGGGAGACTGTCCTGAGTAAGGTACTCCTTCATTCATTTTGAATGAACTATTCTCCCTTCCCAACCTTCCTCAGAAATTTTAGTTTGTACTGTCTCACTTGTTTTTCTCTGGAATGTGTTCCTTTAAAAAAATTGATTGTACTGAATATATTACACTTTATATATTGTAAATAGTTTTATGTGACCAACCGTGTATGTACAAGTGCTTTGTAAATGGGGAGACCCAAAAATGAAATTCTTAAAGCAAAAAAGACTTCAAAGTATTATAAGTTTCTTTTCTGGGAGCTGATTGCTAATGTGTGCTTTTAGGGATATATATGTATATCCATATGTATATATACATATATATGTATGTATATATGTATTTAGGAAAGCTTTTGCTATTGAAAAGATGCTGTGTAAGGCTTTACGATATTCAGTGTGAGAAAAAGTTTGGGAAGTTAATATGTTTATCAAATGTGGGTTGAGGGTGTAGCATAGTAGTAGAGTGCTTGCCTATTCAAGAGGCCCTGGGTTTGATCTCTAGCATTGCAACATACACACACACCCCAAAAATATGTTTATCAGATATGTTTTAGTTTGACTTTCTGAAAGGTAACTGTTTAAACCTTAAGTAGGGAATAAATAAGGAAAGGAAAATATTGACAGGTCAGTACAAAAGCAGACATTTTACATGGGCAATGGAAGACCTATGGACATCCAATCACAATTTAAACACAATTTAATCCCTGCTGTCTGGCTGTTCCTAGCAGTTTTCTGTGCCACACATAGATGAGCTCATGATCCTAGGTTAATGGCTCACCTCTTTTTCCTTGGCCTGGAATTGCAAAGTCGTCTTCTGCAGCTGGTCTCTGAGATCCCAGTCTTTCTCCTTCCCTGCACTCTCAGGCTCCACTTCATTGTGGGAGGGCTTTGCACTACACACAGGCAAAGCCTCATCTAAAAAAGCAGCCAGATTCTCAGTGATAGGCCCACACCTATGAGGAAGGATCCTGTCACTGAGTAAGACTCCTAGGAGTAGGGGAAGGGGAGGGAACAGGAAAGGCCTGACCTTTGGCTAGACTGAATGAAATGGAGTTCTCTGGCTTAAAGAACTCCTGATGGAACCCTGCTTAGCCTGAATGACACCTGGAATTTGAGCCCCTTGAGAGCAAGATTGGCATCTTACTTTACTTTGTATCCCCAGACCTGTCTGATATTTTTTAGTGAATACTTATTAAATTTTTTGTTGTATGCTACATGTTTTAATTTGTGAGGCAGGTTTTCTTTTCCCTTACATCCTCATTTCAAAGTCCTGAAAATGATAGTCATATCCTAGAATTTATCTAATGTGGTTAAAGATGGGTTTTCAGCCACCTTGCAGTCTTGTGTGGATACCAGGGATTGAACTCAGAGGCACTTGACTACTGAGCCGCATCCCCAGCCCTATTTTGTATTTTATTTAGAGATAGGGTCTCACTGAGTTGCTTCGCCATTGCTGAGGCTGGCTTTGAACTCATGATCCTCCTGCCTCAGCCTCCCAAGCTGCTGGGATTACAGGCATGCGCCACCTGCTCCGCACCTTGCAGTCTTAGCTTTGGTGAAAAGAGTACTGGACTAGAAGTCAGAATTTCTTGATTATCTTAGCTCCGTCCTTGATTTGTGTGACCAGGGGCCTTTATATTCTTACTCATCCTCTGTGGGCATAATGGTTTCTGCCTTTCATATTATACCCAGTGATTATGAGGAGAAAACAAAAAGCTATGTGTTATGGATAAGTGAGGAGCTATTGTCCCCATGTATACATGATGAATTCTTTTCAGGAAGCTTAATCAGCAGACTAGTGCGAGATGACTCTTGCATGCTACGTGATTTGGGGCTGGGAAGTTGGATATGATTTGGAAAATTAAGTGTGTAAGAATTGACATGAAATCCTGAGTTCAAAATCAATTTATTAAAATCTTCAACATAGACATGTTTTCAGAGAAAGTAGAAATTATTTTTCACAGCGTGTATACCTCTCCGGAGAGGAGGCTAACTAGTTAAAGTGTCCTCAGGGCCAGTGATCAGTCCTTAAAAGACTCCCTTCTGTCCCTGACTCAACAGACTCCCAGAACTGAGTGGGACTCCAAGAGATCATATAGTCCATCCCCCTGCCTCTAGCAGGCAAGGAAAGAGCAATATCTTAGAATTTGTGGTAGTAAATTTGCTGACCTTTCTTTAAGAGTTTCTCCTGTTCTTGAAGCTGTAAGGATTGATCCTGAAGCAGACCTGTTGGAAAACACAAGAAACTTGTCTGTGCTACTGCAAAGAGCCTCTTTACAGACCTTTGCTTAGAACCTAGTTAATAATGTGCCTTTCTGTTATGAATTGAATTCTGTGCTCCCAGATTTATATGTTGAAATCCTAACCCCCAGTGCCTCGGAATGTAACCATCCTTGGAGATAGAGTACAGGTAAAAATAAGATTGGTAAGGTAGGCCAAGTAACTGATCGAGTAACTGATGTTGTAAAAAGAGGAAATTTGGACAAAAGGAAGCTTATGGTCATCTTCAAGCCAAAGAAAGAGGCCTGGAATAGATCTTTCCAACACAGCCCTCAGAAGGAACCAACTCTACTGACTCTTGATTTTGGATGTCTAGCTTCTGAACCGTGAAACAATATTTTTCTTTAGTTTAGGTCACTCAATCTGTGGTACTTTGTTACAATTTTATCACCCTTTTCTACTGTGTCTTTGTCTTCCCGGTCTCTGCTTAAATATTATCTCGGAATTAAAAGTCTCCCAGATGGCCCTACATACAATAGTGACTATTTTCCCTTTAGTCCGCTCCCGCCTCTATAGCAGTTATTGTAATTTGACGTACGTTCAATTTTTTCATGCACTGAACTACACTTGTTTGTAGACCTTTTTTAGAATATGAGAGAAGGAGCTGTAAGTTTTATTTGTTATTGTATCCTCACATTTAGTATGGATCAATAAGTGGTTGATTTTTGGAACCATTCCTAGTGAGATTTAAGTGGCACATTCATATACATAATAAGTTAGACTACATAAGAAAAGAACTATACTAGAAAACCCAGTGCTTTTAATAATCCATAATTATGGTAGAAATGCAAGTGGTTGTCATTGACATGGAAGGAGAAAAGGAGAAAAAAAGAGTAGAGCCTGACAATATGTGAAAAGCTATGTAAGTGACTCCACGGAACAAGAAGTAGGTATAGAATGTACAGAGATAGGAGGATATGCCAGAGACTGGGCCCCTAGATCTTCTTCTGAATGAGTGTTGTGGAGCAGGACCCCAAGGAACACCAAAAAGCTTTCTTGAGAATCCAGAAAGGAAACTTACTCTGCAACTGCTGTATTCTGGTCATCAGGACAATTTTTTCTTCCTCTGACCTCTTTAGTTTATCTGAAAGTGAAACAGTACAAACCAAAATAGAAGAACCCAGCTTAAAGAACAGAATACCTGAGTATGGAAAGGAATAATTCATGCTGACTTGTCTATGCATCTGATAAGTGTCAAATGGAATTTGCCCTGTCTTCTGATTGTCCTCAGTTCTCAAAAGGTAGACCAGGTACCCCATCAACAACCAGGAGTATGCATCAACAGTGTTGAGTTGGACTAAGGACTCTCTTTATACATTATCTGGTCCTTTTAGCAGACACGGAAATTCTGCCTTGTATTTGAACTGACCTTTTCTTTTCAGATTAGGAATGTGGTTCTGACACTTGTGACTAATATAGGAATGCATGTCATTTGGCCCAGAGGATGGGCTGGAGAGAAAAGAGCTCATGCAATAAGATCCTCTAGTGTAGTAAAATGAATTTCCATCTTGGATGATTAAAGAAGTCCTGCCTTTCCCTCAAGGTAAAATGAAATCATAAGGCCAAGCAAACAAATGAAGGCTGAGGCTTTTTCTCCTCGCAGCTTCCTTTCTCTAAGCTCACTCAGCCATGGTTCCTGTGCTCCTAAGGCCTCTAAGAATAGAGTACCTTGAAGGTCCTGGGTATCTGAGTTGCACAGATCTCTGTCCCCTTGCAGGAGTTCAATCTTGGCCTGCAGTTCCTGGTGCTCATTCTCCAGAAGTCTCAGGGCTTGGTTCATCTGTGAGTCTCTATTATCTGCTCCCTGAAAGGAGGAGGGAAGGGCCAATATAGAAGTAGGTCCCATGGAAGAGGAAAATTACTGAAAATTATAGAATTTTAGAGGTAGAGGAGTATTAGGGTAATGGAAAAACATGGAAGTGTGTGTGAGCCACATCCCCAGCCCTATTTTGCATTGTATTTAGAGAAAGGATCTCACTGAGTTGCTTAGCACCTCCCATTGCTGAGGCTGTCTTTGAACTCGCTATCCTCCTGCCTCAGCCTCCTGAGATATTGGGATTAAAGGCATGCCCCACTGTGCCCGGCCATTCCTCACATTTTTAACAGTGCATTAGACTTCTGGTATTCACAAGGAACATATCTTAACACTTTGATAAATCTCAAAATTAAGTCATAGCAAGTCATATCTTTTCTAGATATTTTCACTTTCTTTTTACTTATCATTCTAGCCCTATTAAGTTTGTTTGTTTTGAGGATGGTAGAACAATTTTTTTTTTCATGAAGAATTAGGTTTAAGAAACTCAAACATCTTAAGAATTGCCTTGTAGTTGACAGGAAGATAAGAACAACAGAGGTTGAGATGTGCATTTGGATAGTGTCATTCCAGTTGAGCACTTAGTTCATTTGCATGAATAGTGTAGGTATTCTTACTAAACTCAAAACTATCTCAGAACTCAAACAGGGAGTCTGGTACTAAGTGAGTAATGACTGAGGAACTGAAAGCTAGATGCTCTGAGCTGCCCTTGGAGTCCCCAAGCTGGGAGCAACTTTTCTCACTACTACCCTCCTCCACCTTCCTGCTTTTCTTACCCCTAGTGCCTTTACCTGTAGTTTAGACTGAAGCACATGAAGTTGGCTCTCCAGCTCTCTGTGTTGGGTCCCGAGGGCCCTCCAGTCCTCTTTTAGAGACTCATATTGGTTCCTCCACTCTTCACATTTCTGTTCTGCCAGAGCCAGGGACCGCTGAGGGAGATCAGAGAGGAGGGGGTTTCAGTAGAAGCCTCCCGCACCAAGGCAACAGCTTGGTGGAAAGGTTGCAAAAGCACATTGTACCCCCTCAATTGTGTATTGTAGATTAATAAATTCTAGGTGTATTTATGAGGAAAAGGTTCCAGGAATTTGTGTAGCTGGGCCCCTGGCTTCGTAGAGCTGCCCCCGGATTCCTAGTCCCAAGAACTGTGCAGCATCCCCACCTGTGTGCTCTGCAGTTGCTGCTCTGCACTCATTTTCTCTTCCAGCACTTTTTGTAGTGATTCTTTGGCCTTCTGCTCATAACTGTTTTTCTGGTCTTCCATCTCCATTAGCACCTTTTTCATTCCCCAAGGGGAGTATTTCTGTAAATTTGATGAAGTTCAACAGTTATACATTGAGCTTCTATGTGCCAAATACTGAACTGGGATACAGAAATGAAAATTTATTGGTCTTTCCCTTAAGGTGGAGACACTAGTGATTTGGTTGGAGCTGAGCACAGAGTCAACTCAGGTGATCTGAGAGGTGAGTGCCATAGGATTTCTGTTCATTGTACCCTAGGCCTTGTGCAGGCTTTTGGAAACCAACATGTCCAAACAGAACTCCTATTTCTTTCTTTCTTTTTTTTTTTTTAAAATATATTTTAGTTGTTGATAGATGTTTATTTTATTTATTTATAGGCAGTGGTGAGAATCGAACCTTGTGCCTCACACATGCCAGGTAAGTGTACTACCGCTGAGCCACAGCCCTAGGCCTAACTTTTATTTCTTTACCAGCTCTTTTCTCCTGAGTTTCTTAGCTCAGTGATCAATATCCTACCTACCCACTCTCCCAAACTCTAAACCAGGGAGTCCTCTTTAATTTTTCTCTTTCTGCGAGGAATTATTTGGTCTTTGAGCCTTGTCAAGTCAACTTCCTGAACAATTCATACCTGTCTCCTCTATAGTCCTACTGTTAACTTTCTTAATTCAGATTCTAATAATTCTATTAAATGGGTTAATGCAATACTTTCCCTATCTCCAAGTCTTGCCCTTCTTCAGAACTTTTTTAGTGGATTCTTTTTAATACACAAGTCTGATCATGGTACTTGTTGTGTAAATCTCTTAGTGGATCCTTGATCTCCTAATGATCAGGTCCAAACTCCTTGACTTGCATACTTCCAATCCAGACTTTCCCTCCGTGCTATCTCTGCCCAAAGGAAACTGCTTACAGATCTCCTGAGCATTGCTTTTTTGGCCTTTGCCATTGCCCAGATAGGTTCTTTTGGCTGGAGCCTCCTTACCCATCTTTTTTTCCTGGCTAAACTCACTCACACTCAAGATTTAGTCCAAGTATCATCAGTTCTGATGATAAATCTTCACTAACCATACACCATTCTCCAACTCCAGGTAGCTTTTCTTAATGTTTACATAGTATTCTCTGTATGCCTTCATTATTTCAATTCATCAGTTCATCTTTCTTCCTTACTGGATTGTAAATTCCTTAAAAGCAAAGTACATATTACTATTTCTTTAAAAAAATCTTTATGGCTTCTGATCTGAGAAATCCAGAGTAGACTCAATTAATGCTTTTAAAATTAGTGAATTTAGATATTGAAATTATTCCTGGCTTCAAGATCAACAACAAGGCATAAGAACAGGGGCTGGGATTATGGCTCAGTGGTAGAGTGCTTGCCAAGCACGTGCAAGGCACTGGGTTTGATCCTCAGCGCCACATATAAATAAATAAGATTAAATGTATTGTGTCCATCTATAACTAAAAATATATTAAAAAAGACATAAGGACAGATTTGTAAATTCACTGGAGGTGAGTTCTCTTCATTTCTGTGTGCTATGATTTGGTGGAAGACAGGCAGCTTTCATTGTCAATTCTGGACTACTCATGGGAGAAACAGAAGTCCAGATAATGAAAATTTAGGGATCAATATGAATCATTTCCATTTACCTTTGGAAATGCCTGAAAATTTGGGCTTATATATGAATAGGTCTTATGTCTTTGGAATTTTTATTTAAAATAGGTCTTAATATTTTTGGAATTTTTGTTTCATATATGGGGAATGTTCCAGTTATTGGACTTATCATACTGGTGACTGGCTAGCTTCAACCCCATTGAAAATGAATAGGCTGGCATTCTGGGTTATATGTCAGACTCTTGGGAGCTTGATTGGCATTATTTAGTTTAGAAGAACCTAACAAAGCAGGCCAGTTTGAAGAAAACAAAATTTGTGGACCAGAAAACCTATGGACTATATAAACTCTATTCTGGAAGACCCCAACTATACAGCCAAGACTACCTTACCAAATTCTAAATCAGGCCAAATTGGGCTGGGGTTATAGATCAGTGGTATATATTTGCCTAGCCTGTGTGAGGTACTGGGTTCAAACCTTAGCACCAAATAAATAAATAAACAAATAAACAAAGACATTGTGTCCATTCACAACTAAAAATATTTTTTAAAAAAGGGATTAGGCCAAATCAAGAGATTCCTGAAACTGGATAATAATGTCACAGAAAAGCCAAGAGTCACATTCTTACTTTCTTGCAGAAGTTATTACTAGAAGAAAGTTGGTCCTGGAATGAAAATAATTTTATGAAACTTCTTTATAACATGCAACTCATCTGTTCAAAGATTGGGACCTGTGAAGGTTAGCTGGGGTGTTGTGATTATTTTTTACTGAGCCTCTCCCTACAGTTTTAGGTATTTTCAAGGTTCCTCTGGAGCTAACAATAGAGCGAACAGTAGCTAACAATAGAGCTGATATTCCTTTACAGGATGTAAAAGGAAAGATACTGGGAGAAAGGTGCAGATAGTGATATGGCAAATTGGTACCAAGTATGGTACTAACTTGAAAATGGTCAAGCCAGAACTGGGTAAAAATAGATATGTTAATCGCTATTTGGTAACATTTCTGGAAAACAGGATTGAAGTTCAAGCATTCTTCTCATTTAATTCTAGATTCATGAGCTGGAAGTATCATTCAGAATGCTTACCTGGGTACAGGTATAGAGTTGGTTTTCCAAGGACCTTAGTTTGCCCTTCAGTTTGTCCTCATTAAGCTGTCCCTGAAGCAAATGGGAAGAGGAATTAATAAACTGGGGCCAAAATATAGTCTGCAAAGAGATTAACTCAATATTTCTAGCCCACTGCTTAACACATAGTCAGTACTCAAACATTTATGGAACTGAGTTCTTTTAGGAGGTTTGGGCGGAGCACAGATGACAAAGGAATGGGGTAGAAAAGGATCTTCTTTGGGAGGCTAAGGCAAGAGGATTGAAAGTTGGAGGTTAGCCTCAGGAACTCAGTGAAATCCTATCTCAAAATAAAAAATAAAAAAGTCTAGAGATGTAGCTAAGTGATAGCCCCTGGATTCAATCTCCAATATGGAAATAAATTTTAAAATAAAAATAAAAAGAAGGAGAAGTAAAAGATCTTCTTCTCTTTCTCTGGAGTAGGACAGGATGCATCAAACTGGTTCCCCAAATCCTCTTTTACCTTGAGGTTCACCATCAAATGGTCTTAGGGTATTATAGTAGGGGGCCACTGGAGGGAATGTTTCTAAGCTGTCCTTCCTTTCTTCCATTACCTCCCTCCTCACCTCATCTCAGTTTTGTACCTGGACTTTACTCATAAAGTATAGGCCAGTAAGGCTAGAGGAGGAATCTTTGTTCTTTTCCTTATTCCCCCAAATTTATATGTTTAAGTTCTAACCCTGAGTACCTCAGAAGGTGACCATATTTGCAGACAGAATCTTTGAAGAAGTCATCAAGTCAAAATGAGGTCATTAGTTGGGTCCTAATCCAACATGACTGGTATCTTTATAAAAAGAGATCAGGACACCAAGATATACCAAGGAAGATAATGCGAAGACAGAGTGAAGATGGCTATCTGCAACTGAGGAGAGAGGCCACAGGAGAAACAACTCTGGGGACACCTTGATCTCAGAAAAGTCTCCAGAACTGCAAGAAAATGAATTTCTGTTGTTGAAACCACCCAGGCTGTAGTATTTTGTTATGGCATCCTTGAAATACAATCATTCGTTAGTGTCCACTGGGGATTGGTTTCATGTTTCCTCCTCCCTCTGGGATGCCAAAATCCACAGATAGTCAAGTCCCTTATGTAAAATGGTGTAATATTTTCATATAACTTGTGCAATCCTCCCATATACTTAAAATCATCTCTAGATTGCTTATAATGTAAAAGCTATGTAAATAGTTATTACTGCTGTATTGTTTAGGGAATACTGACAAGAAAGACAAGAAAAAGTTTCTGGATTTTTTTTTTTTCAATTAGTTTTGATCTGAGGTCAGTTGAATCTGAGGACATGGAAGCTGCAAATAGGTAGAGCTGGCTGTACTAATGCACTCTCTATAGCACACACGTACACACATACCTATGACTCAGAATGAGAGATTCTTTAAGAAAGCAAGAAATGGAGGGAGAGAGATTAAAACAGGATGGGGGCAGGGCAAGGTACGAGTACTTCCCAGAAAGTCACATTCTATTTCTTGACAAGCTGGGTCGGTCTTATGGCATTTATTTATGTATTTGTTTATTTACTTATCTCCCTCTCCCTGTCCTGTCTGTCTCCCTCTGCCTCTGCCTCTGCCTCTGCCTCTTCCTCTGCCTCTGCCTCTGCCTCTGCCTCTGTCTCTCCCTCTCCTTCTCTGTCTCTCTTTCTTTTTGGTGGTGATAGAAATTGAACCCAGGGCCTTCTGCATACTAGGCATCTAATGGCACTTTGGACATTCCAAGGGGGATTCTGATCTCAAGGCTGGGAGTGGAGAAAGTGGGCAGAAAGGGCCATTCTGTTTTTCAGTTTGTTAGCATTTTAGCAGAGTAGTTAATGATTTCCTTGTTGCTTTGTAGGCTTGTGACTTTTTTTCCAGGTTGCAGTTTTGTTCTTCTAGACTTGAGTTTTAGTTCAGGTATATCTGTCCAGGGGGGTGGGGAGTACCATCAGTGATGGCAAGTTTTCCGGAGAAAGTATATCATTGGCCTCTTCAGAGGTAACTGGTTTCCATATTCTTTTTCTGATTTTTTCCATCCATGCCCTGGGGGACACTTGAGGGGTCTTCAAATTCCACTTCTCTTCAGGTCTGGGATGCTGTGGTCCATTTCAATTAGACAGCTTGGATGTTTCCCTGGAAACCTCATAGTGTTTCCAGTTTATAATGGTCTAGGGCCCAAGACAGGATTTCTGTTATGAGGTCTGCCACCCTGGATGAGTGTCAGGGTGCCTTGGGGGAGGCAGGAAGTGATATCTCACAGCTCCTGTTTTGATCTTGTTTGGCTGATTCTTCTAACCATTGGGGCCAGGGGGTGCCCCCACCCTTTCTGCTTCCTGTGTTACTCAGCTGGGCCTTGCAAAAGCAAAAAACATTGCCAAAAATAATTTTTTAAAGTGCCTCCTGCTATTAATGTTTTTCCCAATGTCTCATGAGAGAAAGAGCCAAGAGTCAGGGATTTGGCATCTACAATAACCACAGGGCTTTGGGACAGATAAAAGAGATGGATGAACACTTCTACTCTTTGGGTCTTGGAGTAACTGGTAAAATAGCCTCATTCTCCAAAGTGGCCTATGCATTGAAAATCCACAGGCCCTGAAATCAACTGTCTGCATACCCTACTCCCCTGTTTAAGATCTTCTACCTCTGTGCATTTTTATTGCCTACACTCTTACTCTGTAGAATGTCACCAAACCCACCAAGTTTAAGGATTACCTTTGATAGTTTGGGAAGAAAACAGGCCCAAGGCAGTATTCCTAAAATTTCCAGTCTCCTTTTTGGGTAGTTCCTTTCTCCCGGTCCCACAGTATGGCTTTAAATCAATATTTCGTCTCTTGCAACTGTTTTTGCAGTTTAGCCCAACACCAAATTACTTTTCCATTCATGTTGCAATACAAAACAGTTCATGAGAGCCCCTTCAGTGGGGATGAAGGGCCACCCAAGTCCAGGGCTTGACCAAAATCTCTTGTCTACAATTCTGCCTTCCCAGACTCCCCAAGGCAGGCAGGAAAGTTGCAGCCAAGTTGTTGCAAATGGACCATGTAAGTTTCTTGGTCTGAGCCCCAGTTCTCCTCACATTGAAGCCCA